GTATGTATGTATGTATGTATGTATGTATGTATGTTTATTATAACATTGTTCTGTGTGTCAAAATGAAAGACAGCCCACACACCTATCATTCATCAAACCGTTGGGTCTTATTTCATTACGTGTTGATTTCTATCAACACGTAATGTTGTATCGATGTATATAGAGATGTACTACAGCAAAAGTATTCTCCGTCAGGACTTCCTGCATCAACACCACGTCGTTATCTTGATTCTGATTGGCCAGAAGACATTATCAAAGATGTTCTATTGAGAAGACGATCACTACGTGTCAAAAGTTTTCAAAACCGTTTCTAGTCTTCGGTATTTCCAGACAAGCGGCTACTGAAATCAATCTTACTAACTGCTGTCTGTGCAATTTACTCGGCGCGAGTTGGCGGACTTTATTTTGCTTACTTTAACATCATTTTTCATGGTGGGGCTAAGGTGGGGCTAAGCCATTTCTTGGTATGGCTGTAGCCTACCCCAGCGCTGCCACTTGTGCAATGTATGGGGCGGGCCATTCTGCAAATGCGTTAAATGCGTTAAATATTTTAACGCAATTAATTCAAAAAATTAATTACCGCCGTTAACACGATAATTTTGACAGCTTTAATTTAAACACATCTTTTGAAAGAGATTTAATGTTTAATTGGCACCAATGGAGATCCACTTAGATTATCAAGAGCAAGAAAATAGGTCAGAAGGTAGAGAAGGTTGGAGATTTAATGGGAATCAAAAGAAACATTGGAAACCTAGGTTTTGCTCACAGTACATTCATTTGTGTTTTCCTGATAAATGTGAAAATGACTGCAGTTATGCAATAACTAATTGATTTCCCATCATGCATGAACCTATTGCTACACCTGACTAAACAAACAGGACTTGTCGAGATGAGATTAATCTTTGCTTTGGATTTCAAACTTTAAAAAACATGGGGGATGGGGGAATTCAGGAAAAGGCTTTAAACTATCCATCAAGATTGCCAAATAAAGAAATCCGAGGCCAAATATAGGCCACACACACTTGCAGTGTCATTTTAACACCTACAGTGGTTTCAATTATTTACAACAAGGTTTTCCGGTGGTGATTTGAAAAAAAGAAATAGGGCTTCATTAAAAATACATTGAAGCTGCTATAGGTGACTTTTGACTACCTGGGGAGCAGAACTATTCCAAACAAACTCAAAGCAACACACCTATTTGTATAATTTATCAAGTTTGTAGCTATACATTTAGCAGACATTCTTTTGGACTTTTTTTTATTACCAACTATCTGGCTGAGAGATGCTGGTTGTATCCTTGGCTTGGGGTGCCAAGTCCTTAAAATGACATCTAGATATTTGGCTCGCTAAAACCTTAATGGGGTTCACTTAGTTACCTATTTATCTATTTTTGGATAGCGAACAGTTTCCACCTGAAAGCTGCATAGAGATGTAGATAATGGAGAGGTGAAGTGATGACATATTGTTAAGGCCAACACGGTAGTTAGCATTGCAAGGTTTCCCCTGACTAAAGATTTGGAATTTTTCACTGGATTTTGTGATATTGCATAAAATAAGCTCCCAGTCGAACCAACGTTTATGATAATTACATGTTTTATTCAAAAGGAACATTTTCACTTTTGAAACCACTTTTATAATTCAGAAAGATAAAAAAAAAAATACTCTAATAATATCAATTGAACAATAGAATAAGTTATTCGTCCATACTCTCTAGAGCAGGGGTTCCCAACCTTTTTTCCCAAGACCCCCCCCCAAATGACTCCTGTTGGAAGTTGCGCCCCCCCCCCAAAAAAAATGCTACAACTACTGTCACAAACTGGATGAATGTGAAGTGTTTTGTTAAAGGAGGATGAAAGCGTAATTAAGGAGCTCTATTGGAGTCACTTTGATGATTATTGGACTCAGGATTCATTCATTTGGATTCCCGCTGTATGAAGAAATTGAAGGACGGCGCGGAAATGGAAACAATTCACAAAGGGATTAAACTGTTTAAAACACATGCTCAAAGTGAGCCGGATTTTTCCGATGTGTTTATGGATTCAAAAGTCATAAATAATCTACAAAATGGAGGAGACCGATCTGATCGGAGCAACTGTGACAAATAATCCAACTGAAACCGGCATGGACAATGACTATGTTTTAAGAATGCGCTTATCCAGACAAGCCTGGTTTGGACACTTTACGGGCAGAAGAAACATTTCTATTAAAGAAAGAATGATACATTTCTGTCTTTTTATGCCTTTAATAGCTACTAACTTGAATTTGTATTCAAATTAATTAATCAATTATTTGTTATTGTAATGTAGAGACAAGGTTTTTAGTAACAATCATGTATTGCATTACAATTATATGTTAAAAAAAAAAAAAAAAGTCTAAATATGATATTTGGCCTCAAATCCTCCCAGGTTGAGAACCACTGCTCTAGAACAACGCACAGAAGCATTTTATGATCTGACTAATAGCAGAAGACTTAGTGAAGTGACAATGACAAATGCACTTTGTAGTTGATGTTAAAATAGTAACTACCAAGCTGGTTAAGGGTTAGATGCAAACACGGCCATTCTTTGAATATTTGAAAACATTACATTGTAATTTAAATGCTGACTGAATCCCTTTCCAAACCTCTCTTTTTATCTTTGCTTGGGGATTAAGGAGATTAAAGACAGTGTTGCTGGCTATGTTTTATTGTGGTCTCTGAAATAGTCTCAGTAGGACAGTACACAGTACAGTCTTGTTTGTTTAGTGGCTCGGGAGCTGCTGTCAATTCAGTGACATGAATACAGTACTAACGACACTGTTGATGGCTTTTTAATGCTAGAAGTGTTGCTTATATAATACAAAAAGCTATTCTGGGAGTTAGAATTAAACATACTATGTTAGCATCACTCCTAATCACTTATTTGAAGTATATTGAAGTAACATATGCAACAACTGTGATGAAACACGCTTTAAAAAGGCTCTAAGTAGTATGTACATTTCGGAAATATCAGTAGTAAGTAAGTGGTTTTGACCATTACTTCCATCAGTGTTGCCCACCCCCGGTCTTTCCTGCAAGAGGAGAATTTGCTCAGTGATGAAATATTCATAGAACGTTAGGGATTCAACTTGTGGAGTAATTTGCTATACTTCAATTGAAGTGTGTCTTGAATTTCTAGATGCTTTGAAGTGAGTGCTTTGTATGTGTAAAGAGAGTGACAGAGCGCACATACGGTACTTGAGGGTCTCTCAGCGGCCCCATTCGCTCCTCGGTGTCACTCATTTCCCTTGCTCTACGAGTTTTCTCTTCCCCTGCGGACCCCGGAGGATCTGAAAAACCTGTGGTTTATGTACACTTCATATCTCAGCTGCAATCGTCTGAGGGGGACCTGGACTGTTATCCCAGCAGAGAACAACACATCATTTTCTCCTGTCAAGCCTTCTGTTAGGCCTCATCACAGAGAGCAAGCACTCAGGATCCATGATATTATTAGTCTCCAAGGGAGGGTTCATTCAATTTTCCCAACATTGCACAGTAGCAAGGTCCCTTCAGCGCGAACGAAAAAAAGAGGGAAATAAGAGATAGTGGCACAGCTTGTTTTAACCTTCGTGTGGAGCGGTATATCTTGAAAACAAGGTGATCCAATATCCCCACGATTTGTGTGGACAGAGCTAAATGTATGGAGTGTTATAACTTCCCATTTCTCAGGGTTTAGTTACGGGATACTTGTGCTTTCAGTGCAAGGCTGGAGTGATCAATTGAAGTCTTCCATACAATACTGTGACACGGTCAAGGAGATTCTTCGGCTTGATACAAATATTTGCACCTCAATAGACGCAGGAAATGCCGCCTGCCAACGACTTCAATGAAAAGGGAGTGGATCTTTTTTCTCCAACATACACCCGATCCAATCTGAGGCATCTGGAAAATGCAGGAAAAAAAAAAAAAAAGTGCTTCTGCTGTATTTTAACAGGGCTGCACAGTTCAATCCCACTCTAACTTTCAAAGCCCAAGGCTTAATCCCCTCGCCGGTGAAGGCGTTTGTTTGAGGATCGCCCTCACCACTGGCGCCCGCCTCTATGTCCTTGCAATGCCCTCCAAAGGCGTACTGGCAGATCTTCACTCAGGATTCCTCTTTTTAAAAAAAAAAAAAAAATAAAAAGTCTTCCCTTCCAAGCCTACATTGAAACTTCAATCTTTTTGGTCCTTGGTTTGGTTGTCAGTTGGCAAGTGGTATCCCATTAACACCCTGTTCAATGTTGCTGACAAAAGGCTTGAATGTCAGTTTATTACACAAATGAGTTATGATACGAACTTAGTTACCTTATTGATAAAAAAAAGTGGTAATATAACTTATTGATTTAGAAAAAAAATAGAAATTATTTGGCCATTTTACGACATAGGGTTGCTTTCATGAACTTGTGCCCTTTAGCATAAACACAGAGGTATTATTAAAGGCCAACGTTCAATAAGGAATGACAGTATGCCTCTAAACTGTGAGAGGTTATTAATAACAGGCTAAACAGAAGTAAATGATATTGACCTTTCATTTTTTGAGATGATATACCGTTCTTAAAAACACATGTCTGCTACATTATTCTGTCCATAGGTCATTTATGTCATATCTTTTTCTTCATCGTAAGTGACTCTTAATGACTTTTAAGTATTTTTTAATGGGCGTTACAGTAGCAGTTTGGTCTCGCTTCATGTGTCTGTGCTGCTAGTATCAAGAATAATAGTGGTACGGCATTGTTTCACTTCATTGATCAAGGGGCACCCTTTCTTGTTTCAGGGACATCATCAGTGACTTCATTACCAGCGCTCGAACAAGTGCGTGCCGTTATAAATCTCGTCTGAGCTGTCCACCAATCCCAACCAGCGGATATGATTGTTATCCTTTGAGAAATTCCCCCGATGTCTAACGAGGCATTTAAGCTGCTGCGGTCGCCCTTCGGAAAAAGAAAGTAGGCCTCAGGAAGAGGAATAATGTCCTCATTCAAATTTGACACACTTGAAGTAAAAATGCTGACCGTTTTCAAGGCATAAAAGTAGGAAGTGGGTGCGCAAGTCTTAGAGATGGTTTTCACTCCTATTCAGCAATTTCGGACCAAAGGGGTATTAGACAGAGGACTTTCCTACTGGAGTTAAGCCTAGCTTCTCACCAGCACGCTGAAAAAGATCCCCCAATGGTGCGTAGAATCAAGAAAATTATATCAATCCTTGCATCATTTTTCATCACTTTTAAGCAGCAGGCATACCATTTGACATGCCTTGCATATGAAATGATAAAGAATCTGAATGCAAATTAAAACGAAACACATGTAGATCTCGCCGTATGACTTACAAAAGCAAGACACACAAATGCTTTCATATTCAGTTCACCACTTTCTCAAGGTGTTTTTTAAATAAGCAGCAAATTCAAAGATATTTCTTGTGCCGACAGAACAGATAATACGAATTTCTAATTCTTGAAAATCTAGGCTGACTCACACACACTATAGGGGATGGAGACGAGAGGAAGGAGGAGAGCTGCCAGTGATTGATCGCTGAGCTGCTGAGCGAAGCTGCGGACGGGGGATTGGAAAAGATCGGATTTGAGAATATGCCAATAACTCATTTCCAAAGAAATAAACATCAGCTGCATTTACAGCAAATCAGAGATGCACATGAAAAACAACATCCATTTTTATCCACAAATGCCCGACAACTCCTACATTGCACAAGGAAATCAAGTCATAAAATCACACATCTGCCTTTATCAATGCCAGACATAAAGTGGATCACAGCTATAAAGTGGTGCTTGTTCTCGCTCTGTAGTTTGGTTTGGATGTAATGATTCATATGGAACATAAATTACTCTTGTGTTGTTTTGTACAATAAACATTGATAACAGTATGCACTTACCAGAGTGATGTAGTGTGATATTTGACCATAAAGGAGGCCTCTGGGGTTGTAATAATCATATTCAAGCTGAACGTGGGTAACACTACTTCAGGAGCTGTTGCATCATGTTTTAACCCTTTAAAGGGGCCCTTTTCTTTGCTAATTTTCAGGTTTAATCATTTATTTCTGATGTCACTATGTTACCGAAGTAAACAAAGTCCAATCAAGGTGTTTAAAATATACAAAAACCCATATAACAAACTACAGAAAAGGGAAACCACAAAAAGAACAATAGGGCCCCTTTAATAATTAACATGTAAATACCTGACCCAAGATCCTATGACAGGAATCGGTACATTTAAACAGATAAGCCGAACCTGGTACTTGTAAGTGACAGAAACAAGAAATGTAAGGAGCTACCTTATTAATTTGACTTCTAAGTCTACTATTACAAAGTCTTGGAATCTTGCTTCGGAGACTAAATACCCCTTTACTGTTAGTGAACATGATGAAGTATTTTAGTGGGCATAGCATGGCTGGAGGCAAAATAACTGCCTGAACATGTTAGCTGAAGTTGGCTGGCAAGTTGTGTTGGCTGTTTCTCTGAATGAGTACAGCCCATCACTCGCCCTTACTTAATTAGTAAGACAGTAAGAAAATAAACTAAATCCTCGCTCTTTAAAAGCAATGGTTTGATATATTACATTTATTTGCTCTACTGAGTTAGATGACAAGATCAATATCACTTGTGTCTTTACGGTAAATAAGACTCAAAAACTAGTAGTTTGTGAACTTAGCGTACAGAAAGGAAACCTGCCAGCACATCTAAAACTCACTAATTACCATAGTAAATCACTATTTATGTTGTTTACAGCTGTCTCCCCCGTGATTCCATTCTTTAGGCTAAGTTCACCTGCTGCTTGCTGGAGCATCGTATTAAACATACAGACTGCAGCGTAGCGTTGATCCTCTTACAACATGTGTGCATTTCCAAAAAGGTTAACTCTCCTTGTGGGTCGGTCTCTGAACCGCTGAGCATTTGACTGTAGCAGTATGAGATACAAGTCAAAGCTTAAGAAGTGTGTCCCTGATGTTTTTCTTTATTTCCTTTTGCCTTTAATTCCCTCTTTTCTTGCCAGTGATCCAACTGACTTTTGAATTGTTTGTCTAGCAGCAATCTGAGAATCGGAGCTGGTGCTCAGTGGAGCAGCTCAGTGTCTGCCTGGTATCAGAAACAGCCGTGTGGCTCTGAGAAACCTTTCCTCATGCAACAACAGCTTTGTTGATGCTTGGCTAGAGTCTTGACACCATACTGTAAAATAGCGTTATGCAATCATACAGGTAGCAAGGGTTGTGTTGCTGTCTGCTAACTTCTACTAACTTATCACACTCTTTTCAACGAGAACAGTTTTAATTGTCAACTGTATTTGTATCAATAAAACTAACTTCCTCATCTTTTAAGTAACGTTATGATAATGTATGTCTGTTTAAAGACGATCCTGTCAACTACTGCGATCAGCAGTCCAAACGGTCATAAACGTGGGTCTTTCAGAGCTCTACTGATGCAGGAATTCCTTTTTTGAAACTTTATAAAAAACGGAATCATTGTTCACTACCGTTGATTACATCTTGGCTAGTGGTGCATCTATTTCTACACAAAGGGTTCAAATTGTGGTTGAAGCAGGGTTTTATAATTGTGGAAACCTGTGGTCTCAATGTACAACACACCCTTAAGTATACCTCTACAAAACTGCAGCACAATGGAGGTCAGCAAAAACTCATTTATTAACTTACTGATATGATATTTCTCCTACAAGGTCAACTCTGCTGGTGAAGGTTTTAACATTTTTAAAGATGTAATTGGAAGGAAAGGTATATAGTGAAGCTGGGAATTCAACCTTTAATAAGAAAAGGTTAAAGGTGGGGTCGGTCATTTTGGAGAAACCAGCTCGAGTGCGCTAGAATTTGAAAATACACAACCGGAAAAAATCTGCCACTTCCTTACAGAGCCCCTCCTCCAACACACACGAACGCGCACATGACCAATGAGGGTTTCTCAAACTTACCTACCCCACCTTTAAGTATATAAAAAGAAAAACATACAGAAAGTTATAGATAGTCATTGCTCTAATCATTAATGTACTGACATTGTCTATTTGTACCTCTGCATTTACACATGTATCCTTACTATGAGCCAATATTTACTATCAGAGGGATTTCACTTGACAGGAGTATTACAAAACCTGGCAACAAGAAGAAACAAACTAATTATTTGTATCGCCCTGCAAGAGGACGTATTCCAGCAAGCGAATAACACTTGGTAATATGTATCACAACATCAAATGGGTGCATCATTTACAATAAGGGGAGATGAACAATCTGTTGCCGATCATGTTTGTGAAAGACTCCTGGCTGTATATGAGCCAACTATAGAGAACAGCACCAATATGTATTGCAGTATGATCATTCTCTACTACATCGTTTCATATTCAGATAGGGTTAGGGTAATACAATCAGACTGACACACGGGTCAGTTTACATTCTGCATTTCCTCAACTGGAGTGAATGATATCAAAGTGGAAATAGATTGCATTTGACTTGAAAGAGGGATCTTCAGAGCCTTAATTCCTCAGAGGAAAAAGGAACATCTGTATTTGTATCCATTTCATATCTCTTTAAAGGCCCTTTCCACTTCCCTCTGGAGGAAGAACAAAACTTGTCAAATATGATTTGTTGATGTGTTCCTTCATTTCATCCTTTAAACCTTCACAGCTTATACTGTATATATTCCGCGCCTTCAGACTGGGTTATGGGAACTGACAATAATTCCAAATATAAAAGACCATTCATAGTATGTAAATGCACACAACAATGCAACTTGTTGAGGCTTTGATGCTTTTAAAAGGTTAAGTCGAGTTATTGCGTGGCTTTGATTATGTCTGGGGTTCAACAGGGTACGTACCGAGGGCATCGGGTAATGGGGATGTCAGAACCGCCATGCAATGAAGGGCACAATTACAGTTCATTTTATTCAGGGCAAGTTTACTCACATGGCTTTGTTACTGTATCTCCCTCCCTCCCACACAACATCGCTGCATAAACCCGATAGTCCTCTGAGTCAGAGTTGATGTAAACAACAAGAGAGCTTCATGTCCAGCCAGAGCCTAGCAGGAGAATGGATACCAACCCAGCGACATGTGATTTGCATAGACAGCACAGAGGGATTAGGGTCTGATCTGTAGCGTCTCAGAAAAAGCAATGAAAATAAATAAATGTGTCGCCGTAATTCATGAGCACCAAAAGCTTGCAGATTTGTTTTCATTTGATTCCAAGCAGCAAATCCCGATCAGACAGTTATCCTGATAGGAGAAAAACATCCCGTCCTCACATTTAAATATCTGTGGTCGCAACTTTTATCAATGACAGACAGACAACGGCATGTCAGGCGTGTATCATTTGGTATTATGTCCTCCTTCGCTTCATATCTGGGAAGGCGCAAAACAAACAGGTCCCTCAATTTGACACATGCTTTGGCCTGCTTTTTACATTTATTGGTGAAATTTGCTGTTGTTGCCCTTTGACAGGCCTGACGGGAAGTCATTTCAGGAGAGGGAGATGTAGTGTCTATCAGCCTGTGAGTGTATTTTTAAAGGCGAGGCTGACATTACACCTGCTCCTGCTGTGCGCACTGAAGGGGAATCCCCAGTGGCGCCTTGTCGAGCAGCCATGTCAATTGTTTGTTTGCATACTGAAAAGCTGCAGGCAATATGTTGTCTAGCTCGGAGAATAAGCGGCTCATCGCTACCTATGGTCCATCATGAGTTGTGTATGCCAGGAGAATATACTGGGATCATGTCAATACAGGTAAAGACATTTGGGTTGCAGATCATTTCAAAGAACCCTGATATTGGAGGTGAATTAGGGGAGAACGCGTCGTAAGCTCTTCTACCACAATACACAGGAGGAAAGTTGTTGCTTAACTTACTTAGCAATAATTATTCGCTTGATCACAACTAAAAAAGGTGTTTAAAGAAGATAAAAAGCTACTTTTTACTTTATTGTTTCCGCCGCTAAGGTCAGAGATTGTAGAACCTGAAACATGAAAGTAGCTTCGGTCCTTTAATATGATAATGCACTATTTTCAATTAGTGTTTACCCCGAGGCTTAAAAGCCAGAACTTTCTGAAAGGCTTGAAAAGGATGATAAGTGCGTGTTGAATGGCTAAATGCGAGGTGCCGAATCAATCGCAGCGCATCTCTTTCTGGTTTGGAAATAAAAGGGCCTTTTGAAAATCTGTGATAGCATGAAAGCAGACAGATGTGAACTGGACAAATGTAACAACACACTTTCTGCAATGCACTTTAGAGACACTTGAATCGAGCTCTTTGTGAAATGTATAAGAACCCTTTTCTATTTCATGCCAGGTTAAGCAAAAACAATATTGACATGCGTCTAACTACTGCACATTGATGCTTTTCTGGTACTAAAAAGCCCTAAGAGCCACTTAAGGCAAACTAATATACAAAGACATATCATAATAGGGCCTCCTGCCTTTATATACTGGGGTATTTGGCCCCCCTATTTTATTTTGCATTCAATTGAATCCCATGGGTTGGATGGGTTATCTAGGACACTCACATTGACTTTGAGGAACTGCAGTGGGCATTTGATTGATTCCCTGACGACAAGAAATATGATTCTGCCCTCACATTGGTGAGCAAAACTAGGCCTTAGCATGTTGACTAAATAAAGATACGTATTCTGAAAATTCCATCAAAAAGCTTGCTAAGACCCAGATCAAAATGTAAGCTCCCGTAAATCTTGCTACGCCAATATGATACATGACAACCTGACTTTAATGTTGTGTTGTGAATGTACCCTGTGTGCTGTGACCAATTTGCGTGTCTTGCAAAGCTATTGCATTTTTTGGACAGCTCCAGGGAGAGTGCTATTGGTCGATCCTCTGGGCTGCCATATAGCACCCCGAGGGATACATCCTGGTGCGTCTCTTCTCAAAACGCTACTTAGATAGGCCCTGTGGGACGTTAGCCTCGGAGGGGCCCTGTCTTCTGGAGTAAAAAATAAATAAATAATCCCGCTTCTCTTATGGCTTGGCTGCCTTTCAAAGAAAAATGACAGGCTGGACCCGGTGCTGTTCCTACACTATATCGTCTTTATGACCAAATGTGAATGCTTTTAAGCATTATATGAATTTATGGCTCAATCAGCTTTCCACTTTTTGGCATGGAAATGTCATTCTTTTCTTTTTACAGATTATGAAATATTATATTCAAGGTATGGTATTGGTATTGTAACTCTTGGCAAGAAAGCAAATGATCCCATTTCCCAAAATATTCAACTATTCCTTTACATGTTGCCCATCGCCACTGCAATAACTGTTGGGTAACTTAGAGGCTACACAAACAACCTTTGCATTCAAATGTAACATATTTTCGCCTTTTAAGTTGACATGAAACACTTTTTTGTCTAATAATTATCTATTCAAAACCCAAAGACTAAGAGAAACATAATTTTGGAAGTTTTTTTTTTGGAAAACTAGCAAATGTCTGACAATAATTTGATCAGTTGTTGATATAAAATGAGTCTTTATAGCCACATTAATTCTATAAATAAATACAAGGGTACGACAATGCATAAACTATGCAAAATACCAGAAATAAATGCTGGCTTCCCTGCTTCTCTCTTTTAATGCACACTATTTCTATTCCAAGAACAATCATTTCAACTTTCTTCTCTTGCCTACTGACGCTCAGCCTTCCTCTCTGCAGTTCAGTGGCTTGAAATCTCCCAAGATAATTAGATGGGAAATGTATTTCATTTACACATCATACCACACTGGCTATAATTAATTGTTCTGCTGTTCGGGGTGCGATAGTTCACTAACTCCTTTGTGTGACTACAGGATTGTTACTGTTCCGTGATATGTGGTGCCACGCTGAAAACTGCTAACAGATGCTGCCGTCACCGAAAAACGTCCACCTAGGTGACTCCAAAACAAACAATCCCTGCAATGAATAAACAGAGGTTCAATGCTTTCCGACAGGTACAACATTATTATTTTAAGGTTGCCAGTGGATAGATGGTAGTTGTATCTTTTAAGTACTTGGCAGCACTTGGAATAGTGGCCCAAAATATACTTTTTTCTAAATGTACTATGTTAATATTTTCTATCTTTTTCAATCGCATGTCTGAAACAAAGTCTCTGGCTGATTACTTCAACAAACCGTATTTCTGAGACTCTTGTTGATGTGTAAACTAAACCGCCATCGTACATCCTGCATTAACAGATAGCATGTGTGTGAGGAGTTATTCTAATGGTTGCAAGCTATTTGCCACGGGCTACAGAAAAGCCTGCAGGGTGTTCACCTTGCCTGCAGTGTTTGGGAGGTGGTAACACATCGCAATTTGCAGCTTTAATGAATCTAATTCCATTGCCCTTCATACTTCACTGCTCCCTTTAGTTGAATCTCTTCCTCTAAATACTTTGCCAGTTTATGGACTGATGCTGCTTTGCAAAAGAAACACACTTCTTCCTGCTGATAAACACACCCACTGTGTTCCTAATGGGAATGGTTAAGGGACAGATATAAGTGCAAATGCCCTGTCTAAAGCATACATAACTTCAGAAAATTGGATAGAAATGCAAAGTTGAAAGTCATAGTTTTATCTCCAGGTGCTACACCCCAAGCCTACCTCAGAGAAGTCGTACAATGTGCCTGGGAAAACACGTTTTAAATTATGTGTTTTTGGTGTTCCAGACAATAGGTGCTACTCTGTAATAGTCTTTACGCTACAGTGTGTCACAGCATGCATCATTAATTTCTTCCTTTGTAAATGTTGACACCCTAGTAGCTCTCACTACAGGAAGTTTCACAATCCCTTGCTATAAAAGTAGTATGAGGCCCCTGATTTGCCTTTTTTATTTTTATTTCGATGATAAAGTCAAATAATTGGATCATGGTTTTTCAACACAAAGCTGTTTCTATGTAACATTGTGATACCAATCTATGATACTACATGGATTACTAAAAATATACCATATGGACAAAGAAATACAGCAAAAATAAATACATACATAAAGCAAGATAAGCACTGTTTCGGAGGTGATGAGACTGCAAACAAACAATACAAGCCCAACAAACAGCCTTTGAAACGGTTGCAAAGACAAATCATCTGGGAAGACATGAAAAGATCAAATCACAGTTATTTAGTATCACGTATCAAAAGACTTCAGCAAGCCAAAGAATATTAAGCATTTAATAATAATACTCTAATTGGATAAGGCAACTAAGACTTCTAAAAGACAGATTTGGTATTGATTTGATCTGTAGATAAAGGACATTTTGAGTTAGATTCCTGATGTTTTCTGTCCTTGTAATGCACTTCATAACGGATCACTTAATTTGACTGAACTTAGACGTCATGGGAACAAAAGTTGCAGCGCCCTTGGGCGGACACGTAAAGTCACTTTGTCACCGTCGGTGCTGAGCGGCACATCCATTGCTCATTGAAGCTAATCCGACAAAAGAAGAGGAGGTCAAAAGAGAGACGAGCCGATGTGGGAATGACGCATTATATAAGGTCCGTTTAAATCTTAATATGACTGAAGTGACACACATTATTAAGAGGGCCGTCTCATCAGTGCCTTCCAATGTAGGCAAAGTTCACAACAGGGTTTTGGTCCGCCGCTATTATGGAGTGTCATCGGAGCAAAGATGACTAGAAGGGACGTCTCTAATTAGCCCCTTGTCAGCGCGCATGACATTCTAATCACGTGTTCTTGTAATTACTTCACTTTTTACGATCTCTCGGCTCATCTTAGGTTGACACCGTAGCACTAAAGCGAGCCTCTTTGAATTTATTTGGAGCTCACTGGACAAATTGTAGAAGGAGTGGATGTTAAAATGGAGGGAATAACTGCCTCGATCCTCCACTTTCAAGCCCTGAGGCGCCTTAACATGGGGGGAAAAAAATAAAATGTTATCATCTTCAGTGCATAAAATTGAGAGGTGTGTGGTGTATTTACGTGGACTAACAGAGTCTCGACACTAGCAAGTCTGTACTTATCTGTTTGCACACCTTTTAGTCGGCCTTGGTTGAAAGCCCTGCCTTCCTGAACTCCTACCAAGTGAGCTGGTTATATGTGAAATTAAAAAAGGGAAATGATTAAACAGCCGGCTGAAGCTAAACACGGTTCCTGGACACAGGGCCCGGCGAGTGATTCATTTTCATCCCATCTTAGAGTGCAAAATTGATTCAGGCATTTATGTGTGTTCACATATTTTAGTGTATCTATATATTTAGCAGGTAGGGTAAAGAGAGGCGTTTGAAGAGAGAAATGAGGAGGTTGGTTGAACAAAACGGAAATGTACATTATGGATGTCCAACAAGGGGTGTAAATCCACATTTTCATCATAGAACCTTTAAATATAGATTCTCTGGACAAAGATAGGATGTTTGAAGATTTCACAACATCTGACAGAATATGACTTGGAGTCCATTAAATTCAGAGGCCTGTGATCGATATGAAGCACATATCCATTCAACACAATGAGTGTATCATTTATATTAACTCACAAGTAAAATATAATCTGAACGTTTTATTACTGCTTCTTCCAGATCTTCAAACTAAAATCAACATATTCTTATTTATGAAAATAATAGACTTGTGTAAG